ATAATACTTGAAAATTCTGATCAAGTAGATGGAACAGTACCTACAAAATCTGTATCACAATCCCGATCATGCTGGGAGTTTTGGAGAGGTGGAAGCTGTCTACCGTGYCGTAAAAGACGAGGGAAAGTTTAACATTTCTCGTAAAAAGATCAGAGAATGGTTATCGACACAAGACACGTACACGCTTCATAAGCCGATTAGGAAAATCTCAAACGCAGTCGCGTGCTTGTTGACGGAATCGATCATGAATGGCAAGCCGACTTAGTGGACATGTCATCACTTAGCAAAGACAATGATGGAGTCAATTATTTACTAACTTGTATAGATGTSTTCTCAAAATTTGCATGGGTAGTTCCTTTGAAGGCCAAGGGTGCAGCTGCTTTGGTTGAGGCATTTAAGAAAATTTTTATAGGTGGCCGTCACCCGCGCATTCTATATACAGATAAAGGAACTGAGTTTTCAAATAGACCCCTCAAAAAATTACTGAAAGACAAAGATGTACAGTTTATTATTTCACAAAATGAAGTCAAGGCTTCAGTGATCGAAAGATACAATCGTACTTTGAAAGCTAGAATGTRCAAGTATTTTACCTGGAAAAGTAATCTTCGATACATTGATGCCTTGCAACAATTTGTTTCTGCCTACAACAACACCATACACCGCAGTATCATGAAACCTAGAGATGTCAACGAGAGGAATGAGAGAAAAGTATGGAATCGAAACATTGTACGAAGGAAAACAATTGATTGTTAGGAAGAAGCCCGTAAGATTTCGTTATAAAGTGGGCGATATGGTGCGAATCGCTAAGACAAGGATGACGTTTGAGAAATCGTACTTACCAGGTTGGTCCGAGGAAATATTTAAGATTGACAGTCGACAAGCATCGCATCCTCCAACCTACCGCATCAAAGATCTTAACGGTCAAGAAATTCAGGGTAGGTTCTACGAGAAAGAGCTGCAAAAAGKCAATAAACGCGACGAGGTTTATCGCGTCGAGAAAATCATACGTAGACGACAAAGAAAGGGAGTGAAGGAAGTTTTGGTAAAGTGGCTTGGATGGCCTCAAGACTTCAACAGCTGGATACCGGAAAGTGATCTGCTATGAAAAACGTTATAAACACCATTTAATGCTAACATTGATTATTATCTCTTGGCTCGTGATGATGGAAGGATCCGAGTTTTATCTTACTCTACCCAGTAACTCTTCGATGAATGTGTACCCTGACAATACTCTGTCAGATTTCAGTGTACATCTTCCACAACCCATAGAGCTTTCAGGAGAATGGGAAGTTAGTATGAAAGAAATCCAGTATCCAAGGACTTGGAATAATGTCCGTCAAAAAGAAAACCATTTCTATGTGACCGATYCGTCTGGTATTCCCACAGTTTACATCATGAAGGAAGGATATTATCCTTCAGCTATTGATATCATTGAGGGGATTAAAAGCGCCATCGATGACAAGAAAGTAAAAGATAGCATCGACATAGAGTTTAATAGGATTACCAGACGCGTTACCATAACACCAGCTCAAGGTTAYTCCATGTTGTTTGGAGAAAGTCTGGCTGTCATGCTAGGGTTTGGAATATCAATGCATACCATTACAAAGAAAACAACAGCACCACACGTTATCAACATAGAGGGAGGTCTTACTTCTCTCTATGTGTATAGTGACGTCATTCAGGCGCAAATCGTGGGAGACAGCATGGTGCCCTTATTACGCATAGTAAATGTTGAAGGAAAAGACGGAGAAATCGTTTCACGAACATTTGTAGACCCTCCCTTTTACAGTGTAAGTCGAAAGACCATTGATCGCATCCAAGTCAATATAAAGGATGACACAGGACAAAATGTGCCATTTGAATCAGGGAAGTTGATTGTGCAACTACACTTCAGACAGCGGAAGCCTTTGTATATCTAAAGCATCATGAGGAAGATTCATACTCCTAATCCCGATATCTACAAATCGTATTACCTAAAACAAGCTCAGCATGGAGRTGGAAATTTACCAGCATTTCATGGCGCGAGATTTYAACGTGGCTACGGCATTGGCTCTTTCCTTAAAGGTTTATTTCGATCAGCTGTGCCTTTCCTTAGAGAAGGCGCTAAATCAGTAGGGAAAACCGCTCTTGCTACTGGAATGAACATAGCAAATGATGTAATGGCCGGTCAGGATTTAAAATCCTCCGCCAGGGCACGTGCCAATGAAGCAAAAAATAAATTTAAAGATCAAGCACTCGATACCGTCATGACTGCGGTTGGACAAAGTGGAAAGGGTGTAAAACGTGGTGCTACTCCSAATAGCGCCAGTCACTCTCAGGCTAAGAGAAGGAAAMCAACTGCGCCAAAAAGCAGAGGAGGAAAAACCAAGCAAACCAACCGAGGGAAACGAGTTATAGAAAACGACATTTTTGGATCATATTAAGGAACTATGGCTTTCGTTCATCACGACTCATCAGAATGCTCAAAATCAGAACTTGATTTATTTTACGTACCACCAACGCAAACAGGTCTGGAAGCGGGACGCTTTGTGGACTATCATCCTATTTCTAACATCAGCGACAATGGTCCTATAGAATTTYTGGTCAGTGGGGCAGGGACTGAGTACATKKACTTGGCTCGTACTCAGCTTTACGTCAAAGCTAAAATCACTAAACCCGACGGAAGTAATTTGGATCCTGATACTAAAGTTGGTCCAGTTAATTTGTTCTTGAATTCTATGTTTATTCAAATCGACGTCTCGCTAAATGGTAAATTGGTGTCATCAGCCACCAACACGAACCCCTACCGTGCTATCCTGGAAAGTACTCTCAGTTATGGCCTAGCAGCTAAACAGTCTCAACTCACCGGGGCCTTATTTTACAAAGACAGAGCAGGATATCTCGATGAAGTAGACCCCACTAAAGATGATAAAGATGCAAACACGGGTTTGAAAGCAAGGTACGAACACACTAAGGAATCTCAAAGTGTATAGATGATTGGACGAATCCACGAGGATGTATTCAACATCGATCGTTTAATGATTAACGGTGTAGATTTAAGGCTGAAGCTAACACKGTCAAAGAACGAGTTTTGCCTGCTTTCATCCGCTACTGGAGCTAATTTTAAGCTCGTTATTGAAGATGCTATTCTGTTCATTCGTAAAGAAAAAGTCAGTCCATCCGTAATGCTTGGTCATGCCGAAGCTCTGCGCAAAACCACAGCAAAGTACCCTATCAAGAGAATGGATTTTAAGGTTATCTCCGTTCCAAGAGGCGCTTTGAACTCTTCTCAGGATAACATTTTCAACGGTCAGATCCCTAAACGCATTGTTGTTGCCATGGTAGACAATGATGCTTACTCTGGGAACTATAARAAGAATCCGTTCAACTTCAAAACTAATGATCTGAGTTTCCTGGGAGTTTATGTTGACGGAGAACCATTGCCTTCCAAACCACCTCAACCCAAGTTCGACCCCGCCAACGGCTTGGGCTTCATCATGGCCTACCAATCTCTGTATTCAGGAACAGGCTCCATGTTTGAGGATCACGGAAATGACATAACCCGGGATGAATTCAATCAAGGTTACGCCATTTTCTGCTTTGATCTGACCCCTGACCTGAGCAATGGCGCGCACTACAATCTGATAAGAAAAGGAAACCTACGTCTWGAGATCCAGTTCGCCAAGACACTCCCTGTGAGCACTAACGTTATCGTTCTGGCTGAATTTGAAACTCTGATTGAAGTAGACAACCAGAGAAACGTCTTGTTTGATTTTACGAACTAAAATGAATACAAAACAACTAGCGATGATCATGTGGACGGATAGGATCACAAGGACTGAATTTCAAGGGGTATTTCCGTCAGATGAGCTGCCTGATCATGTAGACATCTACCCAAGTGCCTATATTGCAAATGTAGACCCAAGTGATCAGCCAGGAAGCCACTGGGTCGCCATGTATTTTACGAAGGAAGGAAAAGCGGAGTTTTGGGATTCGTACGGCCAAGCTCCCCAGTTGTATTCAAGAACATTCCAAGACTTTTTAGACAGGAACTCAAATTAATAACCATATAATAATGGATAATGAACCATACTGTATTACAAAGTTTAATTTCTACTGTCTGTGGTGAATATTGTATTTACTACCTGGTACATAGATCTCGTGGTTTTTCATTATCAACTATTGTCAATCATTTTACTCAGAGAAAACGTATCAATGATTCTATTGTATACGAATTTGCAAAACGTCATTATCCGTCTGTATTTRTGAGGGATAAAAAACGTGCAGCTGTAAAACAACAATCATCTAAGTCACAATTTAAAAATAAAACAACACTGTAAATTGATTTAATATTTTTATTTAGATTTCAATAAAATGTTTACATTGGTGAACTCATATGTTTGTTGTCCATTAATATTTAATCCATCGGGGTGATATGTCTAAAGAAGCTGCAGACTTTGCGTTTCTCTTTTTCTTTTTCTTGGGACTGGGTGGARGAGTAGGTGACGAACGTAGATCATCATCTTCATCATCATAAACACTTCCCTCCTTGTTCTTATATTCTTTCAGAGTCTTTTTCCTAGTTTCATTTACGATCCAGTYCATTGGTGTATTGAGCCGTGCGAGACCCCGCGAAAACGTGTTCCAGTTAGAAGGTTGGAATCGTTTACGTTCACCCATTACATCTCTCACTAAATCAACAATGTTTGTTCCGGGTACAGGCTTGCCATTGTAAGTCAGCTCTCCACGATCATTCCAAAACACATCATCTCTGTTTTGTTTGAGTTTGTTAATCAATAGTCTCACCTTCGTCTTAACGGTTTTGGGCACTCTATCGATAATCTCATCTTCGATTCGAATTTCTTTTTCTGAAGGGAGCTGTCGTTTTTCTTCTTCTTCTGTCTCAGTTCCATAACTCTTTAGTACGGACGTTACTTTTACAGGAAGGGGTTGCTTTACTTCGGCTGAATTCTAAATATTTTTGTAAAGTTTGGTTGTACAGCTTTAGTTTCTCATCGTCTGCAATATCATGCTGAGATAAGATGTCGTTCATTTCCGAATCCAACTCACCAAGAGTTCTCACCACGGGGTTCGTTGGGGCTTTGTGCTGGTGATGATGTACTCTAGGTAAATACATCTATGGGACCAATACCATTTTCCGCGCCATTATGGAAGTAGACTGGCTAATTGTTGCAGCACGGGTGCCAGTAAAATGCCCAAGAAGCCTTCTCCTTTCTGCACGATAAGGTTTTTCTTTGTGCTTAACGGAACGCGTTTATCTGCCAAGTGCCTCAGAGTTTCTTTATGAGGCCTGAGTTTCCCCTTATGGTATGGACTCAAYTTGACAGTTCCCCGCAACACGTTGAGTACACACTCACAGATTGCTTTAAGAAGTTGATTATCAGCAGCGTRAAGAAGTGCTCGCCTTTGTTTTGAATTACATTTCTTGAGGACTCGCAAAAAGTCAATGTTGTTTCTCATGCACTGAGACATGTCTAAATGATGGAAATGATGTAGTACGTCTCTTTTTATCCCTTTTTGACGTACGCGTACTGTACTTGGTCAGGAAAAATATTAGTTCTTACGCGAAACTGTTCAGGAGTATTCTGTTTCAAATCTAGAAATAAATAGCCATACGGATGAGAGCAAGCATCCGTGTAAGCTTCTTGAAGAAATTTCGCGCGACCTGGATATATTTGACGAGCTAAGTGAGATACTTGAGCACGATCTCGAGGGTTGGAGAACAAACAGATTTAATGGCAATTCAAACTAACATTACGGCTTTCCTTTCCTTTRGGGAAAAGATTCTGCTGAATGTGAATAAGGCTCATGTTCTTGTGATGACATCCACGCGTTACCAAATTAGTTAATTCTTTGCTGTTCCCTGTTTCAGTCATCAAGTCATCTAAAATCAAAAGGTTTCTATAGGCAGGATTGATGGTCTCACTAATTTCGCTAGGCACCCCTTCAATGAATTCTATATGAGGTATACTTCTTCGCATCTCCTCGAACATTGGTTGATATTCTCCATAACACCACAAGATTTTTTCGGGGGGATTTTGAATCATTTCTTCTCCCAATTCCAATAGTTTTCTTACAAATGATGTTTTGCCACACATGGTTGGCCCCGATACAATCATAGGGAAAGGATGTTTTAGTCTCGGGTCCATGATTAGACTGAATGAAATGCTACAGTGAATTTTTATTATATTTATTTTTTTATGCATATTCAATATTTATATATATATATATATATATAACGCACTACAAAAGGAAATCAACGTCTAAGGTATTTCGAATATACTTGCAAAGCAAAACTATCGAAGCAGGAAAAAAACTATTTGCATAAGATAATGATATAGAGCTGATTAGAACCCATAGGGCACGGTGTCAAAGTTGCCAATTTTTACACGCTTCGTGTAAACTATCCTATAATCTCGTGATTCGGAGCGTGAGATTATGTTTTTTGACTTAACATCTCGTACAATTTTACATGGATTATTTACAGTAATCTTTTCTCCAGCTATTCCCCGCACCATTCTTGACATGGTATCTAAATTTATTTGTAGGGAGTTTCTGTAGTTCAGCGTTATTCCCCTCACTTTGCAGCACGTACTCCCATCATCAAGCTTGTAGGCATAGTTTTTCGGTCCACCAGATACAAACGTGGTGATGTGGTTCTCGCCAGTCTAAGATGTCAATTGCCCAAGGTAATCTCCGGTGTCTGGCTCCCATTCGCCTTCCCGGGATAGATAAATTATGGAATCTAAAAGATCAAAATAATACATTCAGCACAGTGTTACTTTCGTGATATTTTTATGCATATTYGTATTCAGTTACCTGTATCAAAGTAGAGGACTCTTTCTTCTAAACCTTCCAAGACACTGTACAGCTTTAGACGTGCGTGAGCTGTGGTGAAGGCTGCCAGCACCACGTTGGTCTTGGCGTTGGGAGGAATGAAGTCTTCTGTATGAACAAAATGTACTTCAATCGCCTCGTCGTTGACAAACCTCATATTCTGGACCTCTACGGCGTCGGATAAGAGGAGCTCAAAGTAGCGATCTTCATCAGTGACCATCTCCACCTGGGTCATGTTAGTTCTTTGAGCAAATTTACCCCAGAAACTAAAAGAATAAAATTGGGGGAAAAAAGGGAATTTGAGTATAGCTCGATTACAAGGTTCTGTGAAATACAAAATGCATACCTATTTAGCATTAGTTTGGCTAGAGCGCGCAAACCAGGATTTTTCTGGATCTTAGATGGGTCCAGTCGTATCCCCTCATTTTCGAAGTATCTCTGGATGTACAGGGCTTTTTCATCTTCAGTGCGACACCAACTTGGGTATCCAGAAGATTCCTGCTTAATTTTGAGGAACTTGTCGATATAGGAACTGAACAGCTCGTCTGACGTTTGTGGGAAATGCCACACCTCGTCTATGCGAACTAATCGATAACCTTTTTCAAYGGCTTTAGACAACTCGATGGATACCCATGTCCCATTAACAGCACGCTCATTTTCGGAATGATCACAGGGTTCTTGTTGTTGATTGTCAGCACAAGTGCGACAAAGGGGGAAGGTAAGCTTGCCATTCGAACGGTAAGGAAGGACAGGGTGGTAYAGACCACGAGGAGGCAGGACAGTACACTTTACCAGGCCAAAGTATTGATCGAGGGGAGCAAAGKTTTCTGTGATAATGACAGGATGCCCCAGAGGATAGGTGCAGTACTTGTTCGTCCATGGGTACTAACTGGTGGAAAATGAAGAGTATGAAAAAAGAATAGTTATTTAAAATAGATGAATAAAAAAAAA